TGTTTCGATCCTTTCCGCAGACATGACAGATTCGCACAGTCATTTAGGTTTAGCGAATCCAGGGATTCGAACTTAATTATAGATGTACACATTTACATCTAAATAAAATCTAATATCGAAGAAATATGCAGCAAAATAATAAAAATAAGAACAAGACTTATGTATGAATTTTATATAGAGACAGAGTAAAATAACGCAAAATAAATCTCGTTTTTATTTTGTTTTTAAATAAAAAGAAAAACGTTTTATTGTTATTTTTTGAGTCAGATGACGAAGAGAAGAAGCACTTCAATTTGAATAGAAATTTAAGATAAAAATTTAATTTAAAACTTAAATGTTTTAAGTAACTTTCAAGATAAGTTTGATTATAAATTAAAAATTTGATTATAAATTTAAAAGGAATATATCTTAATATTACAAGATTCTCCTTTGGTTTGACTGTTTGATCGTCGGTTAAAGGTGACGGTCGCGTGACGAGAAATTAAAGAAGATACGAAAGTTTTAAACGTATTATGCAAGCGCCGTGTCAAAACTGAGCTCAAGAGTATCATAGTTATTGAAAATGCTGGCGCTTAAGTGTTATGTGTGAGTCTGTATCTGTGAGCGTGTGCATGCGTATGTGAGTGTCGGAGATGGGACCTATTGAGTTAACTATCCTCGTCCTCAGGATCAGGGAGCAGCACGTTAGGAAGTTATAAGTCTTTAAACTTTAATTTTAACTTGAACTCGACGGCGCTAAAGTTGGTTTAGTTTTACCTTACTTATACTTCTGCGGTCAGGACCTGGAGCCTTAAGAAGCTTCAAGATTCCACGATAAACCCCGAACGTTTTACATTATGGAGCAGTAAACTAGAAAACTAGAAAGACTTTTGATATAGATGTACATTTGTTTTTTTTTTCATCAATTGTAAAGCGTTTGCAACAATATCTGATATGAGAGAATTTAACGTACATTCATTGCGATTGCATATGGTCTGATTTTATGACAAACAGTTTTAATATCGCGTTTGAGATGAAAATGAAAACAGGCATTTATTTTCATGCAACAATGTTGCTGTTTTGGATATTTCTCGCGACTGCGTTTGTGTTTGCGTATAATATTAATTTTTTTAATTTTTATAATAGTTTCGTTTTTATATATACATGATTTTATCGTCACTAATTAAAAATTGAATTAAATATATGCATAAGATCAAAAAATGTTAACAGAATATCATAAATTTTAATTTAAGTTAAGACATTCTTAATAATTAAATACATTTAAAATAATAAATTATTATTTTGTTTTTTATTTCGTTTCAATATATTTTATGATATATCTTTACATAAAAAAGATTTAATACTTAAAACATTTAAAATTATAAAATTGTTTAAATATTTAGAATCTTTATATCATTTACTATATTATAATTATATTTAAACAATTTTTTACTACGAACTGATTTTGTCGAAAAGAAATACATGTTATTTATTTAAATTTTTTAACATTAATAAGATTTTAATGTTAATAAGATTTTGAATAAACCCGCATAATACATGTTTATGCTATAATAGATGTTATTTCATGCGAATAGATTGTTTTTGCGCAAAGTAAGCATACTTCATGTACTAAATAAGCCATTTGAATATCTCGAATGTAAATTTTAGCGATAATGGCATAACGTGTGTGAGAAGAACTGTCATCGTATTTTACTGCGGATGAAAAAACTGGCTTTCACGACAAGCGCGTGTGCCGTTTTGTGAAAGAGACGGATGTCGCTAGCTTCCGTTTTGAACGCCGTGCAGAAAAGACGCGACGCAAAACGGACATGCTCTTTTTACCTGGTACATACTCGTACGCAAACAGGTATCTGTTCCCAGTCAGGCCATGAGGTGTCGGTCAATCGGATCTTCCGCTTGTTCCGCGCAATTCGAAAATTCATCTACCGCGGAACACGGAAGTTCCGATGGCGCGCGTCGCTCTTTTTTTTTTTATTTTTCGTAAAATCGAGTTTTCTAGTCATTCGCGCATCAGTCAACGTCGGCCGCCGTTTTTGCAAATCGCGGCGTCGTGATATCGGATAGGTAATTTCCGAAATCTCAGCCGCCCATCGGATGATCTATTGCCGGCGCATCGGCCATTCGATACGGCTAACGCATTAGACCGTTCTATGCATTCGACATCACTGAGATCAATAGACACTTCTGACACGTTACATCGCGATATGTAACAAACGGAGGTGGATCAGGAGTGTACGTTTCCATCCACGGTCAACACTGTATTGCGCGCATTATATCCTATGTACGCATAATTGACATACCACGTCGAGAGCGAACCATTAACGTCGATACAAATGTCATGATCGAAACTGCTCGCTTCATAAATGCTTCAGTAATGAATACGACAAAATATTTTCCTGATTGTATCTGAAACAATACAAATGTCGTTCTTGAAGATATATATTTTAGTTCCAAATAGTCTGTAATTACCTTCGCAGAAACAATTATCTTTTATTTTTTTTAATGTTGGAGAACAATTAGCAAAAAGCATATATTATTTGATATCCCTTTTATATTTATTTTTACCATTACGTATATATATATATATATATATATATATTTAAATAAATTGCATTCTAAATTGTGCTGAAGAAGGAATAACCATGTAAAGAAGACATTACATTATTGAAGATTAGTATCTTAAAATGCGCGCAAAACTCATCTTCTTCCTAATCTATAATCGAAGAAAAGCGCGATTTATCTTTCGGGAAGGTAGGAATCATATTGCAAGTCGGCTTCTTTAAGAAATCTCGTATTCTCTTACGCGATTCGCACCTTAAACTCCGGGCGACTTAGCTTTTCCTCCGCCACTGTAACCACGCTCCTCTTCGGGGAGGGTGAACGTCGCGACGCGGTGGAGGGTGATTTTGGTTTGCCCCTCGCTCGTAGCGACGCTAGCGCCGCGTCGGAGGCTCCAGTCCGATCTCAGCATCACTCGTGGTGGTTTCGCGCGCGCATCCGCCGCTGAAGTGAGACCACTTTTCAAGAAAAAAAATCGAGATTCCGTCCGAGTTTCCGGCGATACTCGCCGATTTTATTTTTGTTGTCACGCCGTGTTGTTCGACTGGCGCGATTAAAAATTCTGGACGACGATTGTCGAGACATGTTGATTGAAGAATTGCCAAAAGGAATCACGAGAAGTGCGTTTTAATGAGAGAAAAATGAGATTACTTATCGCGAAAAAAAAATCATGGGCGATTGATAAGGACCGAATGACCGTAATTGCGGATCTATCGATCGCTGAACCTATGTTTCAAGTGACTCGCGTGTGCGATTAGAAAGGTAGATCCTTTATTTTGGATTTCGTCTCTTTAACGTCTCTTTAATTTAACAGCGAATTTAACAGCTTTGTTTATCTTTCAACAACTTGTTTTTTTTTTCGCGCGCTTCATAAGTTTCGTCAGTCTGAGTGTTTTCGAGAATGGCGAAATGTATTCGCGGGAATACGAGGATTTTCGGTAAAATTGTGAATGATTGAGGAATCTGAATATAGAGAAAACGCTTGAATTCCTGAAGACTAAGAGTTGCATTGCGGTGCGACGTTTATTTTGACGCAGAGAAAGAAACATTTCGGGATTCGTGGAGAATTTTAAGAAAAAAATTTTTCATGAAGATAGCTCTCTTAGAAAATGTGTTCGAGTGATTTAAAATAAATTCGATTTCGGGATTTTACGGCAACGAGATGATTGAAGTGAGTGCTATGAAATACATTCAGTGAAATCCGGATTAAAATGCTCTCATCTGTGCGAATTTTATCGGTTTAAAATTGCTACGCAGGTATGACGAGCGGAACATTGTAGTGAAGTTGATATTTAAAAGAACTGATCGAAATTCCAGAGAAAATATATATTCGAGGAATATCTGAAGTGCAATCGAGCGGAGAGGTTTTCGCGTTTTAAATGTGATAAACTTCGTGCGATTTTTAGAGAACGGATACGCTTTGGATGCCTCTCAGATTCAAAGGTGCTTGAATTTGATTCGAGTACAACAAACTATGTCCCATATAACATTCAACAGAGATATTTCTGCGGCTGTGCGTAAATGTGTCAGCAAAAATCCGTATTAAAGCTTCGGCGGCAGGCTCTCTTCAAACCGATAAGCTTCCCACGGGTATGAATCCTCTGGTTTTAAGTGATACTTGAACGTAAAGACTCACCCGCGAATTTATCTTAAAAAGTGGCGCAGATTTTTTATTTCATACATAAAAATATAGCTTTTATTTATAGTGATGCGTATGTTTGTTGAGAGAACTGTGTATCAGATATTTAATTTTCACCAAAAAAGCAACGAAAATTATAAGTACGTTATATATCGCACTCATTTGTTTTGGTGGCATAATGAAATCAAAGAAAAAAACTTTAATAAATTAATAAATTAAGAGAAACATGCGATCGTAGTGCGATAAACAAAATCTTTGTTTATATTCGAAAACACATAATTAATATATCTTATATTCATGTATATATTACATGTAACTAGAGACTGTACGAAATTAAATTACGAAGGTCTAAAGCGTTTGAAAAAAACGTACATAATTTTTTTAAAGAATGATAAAGTTTATAAAAGTGACGAGTCGTGGTTGGAGAAACATACGCAATCAATTAAAATCTAAATCATATTAGCATCAATCAAATGAATTTAAATGATCAGCGAACTCCTGTATAAATGCTTCGGTAAGAATTCAATCTACTTTTAAAAAACGTAAGAATGTCGCGTTCTTCGGGCTACCGAATTATTCTGTGTGCGAATTCTTGAAAGTCTTTTGGTTGGAGCAGACATAGTTCGTCTCGAGCGAAGTTACAGGAACGTGTGTCGGGGTGAAGAGAAAGAGACAAGATCGTTGATGTCACCGTCAAGATGCCGGTGGTCTGCGAGAAAAAAACAATTTTTCGCCAATAATGCGTAATAATCGTGAATATTCCTCATAGAAGACGGATATAAATTCGTAAGAAACACCGTGACGTGTGAAAATCTTCACAATAACGACTCGCGGCGACTTGCGAGTATCCTTGGAGTTGTTTTCAACTGGTTCGAAGAACCTTGGGAATAACAGTGTCACTTGTCCAAATGTATGGTGACCCTTGGAATAAAAGCACATATGAACTGTAAAAATATAGTCGCAATAACAGTAACGTCGCGCTCCCTTACGTGACCAGACGAGGCGTGTTCTTGAAAACGATTACGCGAAGTGCCGGCGAAAAGTACTCGTGAGACTAAAACTCCGACTGACCGTTTAATGTACTCTCCTGTGCAATTGCAGCTTTCGGGCGGTTAAAGTGTTGTGCGAGACACTAAGATAACAGTAACAGCGCCTTTCTCGTAGAAATGTCTTTCGCAGACATGAAATTTTCGTATAAAGTGCAATCGTGATTATCGGTTAAACTCTTATCGCGCGATTTATATAATTAGTAGTCTTTTGAAATTGGAATATTTCGGGATAAAACTACGGTACATGTTGTACCTAAATTGTTATATAAGTACGAAATATACATGAGGAACATCACGGAATTACGTAATTAGACAAAGAATATCGCGAAAGTAGCAAAAAATTAAAACAGGAATTACATTGTGTAATTAGTACCGAAATACGAGGGTTAAAAAGAAAAATTATTGTCCAAAATACGAAATTACGTTTTGCGTGTTCTAAATTAAAATAAATTAAAATTATACACGGAGAATGAAAAAAGAATATAATTGAGAACAAAAATCACTTTTTCCGCGATCGATAGTCCTCAAGATAAAATCATAATATACGATATGCGCGACCGACTGTAACAATATTGACATTGTCAACGAGTGAAATTCTCTTCTCGTCATCGTCGATTACACGCTTTTCGGCATACGCGAAAAGTTGCGGCCGCGGACGGTAAAGTGTTGATGGTGCGTTCTATTAATTTTCCATCACGGCGCAAAGTTTTTCGCGAGTTAAGGCTGAAATTGAAGCAACGCGACAGCTGCGTATTGTGAGAGAAGATCACACGCGACGTCGTGTTGGAGAAAAATAAAATATGTATGTGGATAAAAGTATCCGTTGTAAGCTCGACAAAAGCGCAACGGAATTCCTTTAATAAATCGCTATCGTCCTCGCGAAACAACGTATCATGTGTTCTCGAGCGGAAAACTATTAAGTACTCTTGAATGTCGAAGATTGTTGCTATTCGAGATCGTAGTCGTCGCCTCGGGAATCGATTGCTCTCATAAGATCGAAAAGTGTCGAGCAAAAGCTGTGCCGGAAGTGGTTGGATACTTCGTAGCGAGTGCTCCAAGGAGTTGACCCTTTTTGGTTGCATTCTCTCTCGTCCATCCGACTCGATTTCGTACCATTGTCTTCCGACTGTTCGACTTGGTGTTTCATGTGAAAAGCGATTTCCTTGATTGTGTGTACTGTAAAAAGAAGAGGAGTGCGATTTACTTAAAGGTAAATTTTAAATCATCTTAATAATTTAATGATGATCAATTTTATAGAAAGAAGTGTACGGAAATATCTTATCTGTAAATTAGCGATTTGATTAAAATTTAAATTTTATTTCCTTGTGAAAGTAATATTACATATTATATATATATATATATATATATATATATATATATATCTATATCTATATAGATTAGTATACATATACATACATGTATATAAAATTTAG